AAAAAAAAAAAAAAAGAAAAGAAAAAAAAAAGAAGAAAAAAAAAAAAGAAAAACTCCCACAAAAACCAAGTTGTACAACTCGTTGTTGGATTCGATGGAATCACACTCCCCAATCAACCACCACCTCTCCCTCCCCTTACCTCTCCCCCTCACCATCATTTTACACACACAACCCCATCAGATTTCCGACCTTCCGGTGGCCTTCTCCGACGAAACCCCCTAAATCGCCATGACCGAGCCCGATTCCAATCACCCACCCACCCTTTTCCCCAAATCCACCCACCGCTCCGCTCCCGACGACCGGACCCAGCTCATGGATTTCGATCTCGACTTGGACTTCCCTTGGCCCTTGGATCAAATCCCTTCATTCGCTTCCAACCCCATGTCCCCTTTTCTCGTTTCCACCTCCGATCATCTCGGTTCCCCTCTCTGGGCCTTCTCCGAACCCGACGACGACGACGATTCCAAGTTTCCTGCCTCTACCTGCTCTGTTCTTGGTCAGTTTTCATTCCATTTTTTACCTCTCTTTTTAACCCCTTTTCTCTAATTTCTTGTTTTCTCGATTCCATGGAGCTTTGAATGACTTTATGTTTATGATTCTTCGTGGGGTTTCTGGATTTTAGTTTTCTGTGAGTTTGAATCTTGTCATTGTGTGTTGTAGTTCATATTAGGAGGATTCTTTTCTATTTAAAATGGCTTAACTGTACAGCTGAGAGCAGGTACTTCCAATTCCAATTCTGTACCACAAAAGCCGTCCGAGAACCACAAGTTCAAAATTCTTCCAGTTCAATCTTCATCATGGGGACTAATCCCATCGGAGAATCCAGATGGGTATTGCTTAATCAAAGAAAAAATGGCACAAGCTCTTCGATACATTAAGGAATCCTCCGACCAGCATGTTCTAGCTCAGGTTTGGGCGCCCGTAAAAAGTGGTGGCAAGCTTGTACTTTCAACTTCTGGCCAACCCTTCGTCCTTGATTCACAGAGCAATGGACTTCATCAGTATAGGATGGCCTCTTTGACTTTTATGTTTTCTTTGGAGCCCGACCAGGATGGATATCTTGGTCTCCCTGGTCGTGTTTTCCAGCAAAAGTTGCCTGAATGGACTCCAAATGTGCAGTATTACTCGAGCAAGGAGTACCCTCGACTTAGTCATGCTCTTCACTACAATGTTCAAGGAACTTTGGCTTTGCCTGTTTTCGACCCGTCCGGGCAGTCTTGTCTCGGTGTTCTTGAGCTTATCATGACATCACCAAAGATCAATTATGCACCTGAGGTGGACAAAGTCTGCAAAGCTCTTGAGGTTTAAGTTTCATCTTCTATCATGTCTTAACAAGTGTCGTGTGTTCCTGTTAACGCTTCTCGATCTCGATTGTATTGGACGAAGGACATGACACGTTTAGCCATCATAAATGTTTTGCTAACTTTATGAATCTCTTTTCTTGTTGCAGGCTGTGAATCTAAAAAGTTCAGAGATTTTGGATCATCCAAATAATCAGGTCAGTGATGAAAAGTTATAAGTATGAAACTCGTGTTAGATTCCATTTCGGATGATGAATATTGTCTAGTTTGTTTTTTTTCTTGCTCGATCTCACAGATACATACTTCGCAATGCTTTTCAAACCAGATTTGCAACGAAGGTCGACAGAATGCACTGGCTGAAATTTTGGAGGTACTCACAGTTGTATGCGAAACTCATAACTTACCATTGGCTCAAACCTGGGTTCCGTGCAGGCACCGAAATGTGCTCGCTTACGGTGGAGGTTTGAAGAAAAGCTGTACTAGCTTTGATGGTAGTTGCATGGGACGGATTTGTATGTCTGCAACCGAAGTAGCATCGTATGTTGTCGATGCTCACATGTGGGGTTTTCGTGACGCATGTTTAGAACATCATTTACGAAAGGGTCAAGGTGTTTCTGGGCGAGCGTTTTTATCCCACAGCTCCTGTTTTTGTGGAGACATCACTCAATTCTCCAAGACTGAGTACCCTTTGGTACATTATGCACTCATGTTTGGATTAAAGAGCTGTTTTTCGATCTGTTTACGAAGCACGTTTACTGGAGACGATGAGTACATTCTAGAGTTTTTCCTGCCACCGAGTATTGTCGATTATCAGGAACAAAAGACTTTGTTGGGTGCATTGATGGCAACAATGAAGCAGCATTTCTACACTCTCAAAGTTGCTTCTGGAATCAACCTTAAGGATGAGGAAGGACTTGTCGAAATCATTCAAGTGTCGAGAAATGGAGGATTCGAGTCGAGAATTGAATATATTCAAATTCCTCGACCTATGGAATTGCCTCCTCACTCTGATGCCATGCCAAATGCAGGAGAGGTAGTTGCATTAGAAAAGCTGCAGCAGCAATCTTTAATGGTTCATGATACTCCAAAGGACGAAAACAATAGCGCTCGGGACGACGAAAACCACAACCCTGCTCCTTGTCCACAGAGTAAGGAAGTAAAAAAGACGTCGGAAAGAAAGCGTGGAAAAGCTGAGAAATCGATTAGTCTTGAGGTTCTTCAACAATATTTTGCTGGCAGTCTTAAGGATGCTGCTAAAAGCCTTGGCGGTATGTTGTTGATTCTGTAGTTAAAGGCTACAAAAGTGTGCTTGCTTATCTTATCTATCTTGTTTTTTTCCATTTTGACAGTTTGTCCCACGACAATGAAGCGTATCTGTAGGCAACACGGGATCTCACGGTGGCCATCTCGGAAAATCAACAAGGTCAATCGTTCACTTTCAAAGCTAAAGCGCGTAATTGAATCGGTTCAAGGGGCCGAAGGAGCATTCGGGATATCATCTCTGGCTACGAGTCCTCTTCCTGTTACCGTTAGTTCGAGTTCTCATCCTTTAACTCCGGAAGTGTCTAATCAGCAAAACTTTGTTGCTTCCCAACCATCTGATCCACAACATAAAGAAACGAACACCTCGGAAGGACAGACAATCGACACATGGGCGAGGTTGGAAGATCAATTACATAGGGGAGTGTTGAGTCCCGAAGAACCGATCCACGAACAAAACGGATATCTGCCGAAGTTTGGAAATGGTTTGAGCAATTATAGAACGGGGAGTGGATCACGGGAAGAGAGCGTCGGGACACCTACTTCTCATGGTTCATGCCAAGGTAGTCCTGCAAATGACAGTGGTGTAGCTAATAATCCCATTTCTATTCCCCTGCAGCAAGAACAATGTGTTAGAAGAGAATCTCCTGAAGTAGTATTCCATCCGATCGATAAACTGAATATATCAGCACCTGCTCGTCCGATCCCGGATACGCTCGTAATGGTTGAGCCTACTGAGGAAGCATTTGGAGGAATGCTGATTGCGGATGCAGGTAGTTCCAAGGACTTGCGAAATCTTTGCGCTTCGGTCGCCGATGCTGTTCTCGACGAGCAAGTACCTGAGTTTTGTTGGTCCAACCCTCCTGATATAGCTCTGAGACAACCTATGGACTCTGTTTGTCACACAGTCCCTTATATGTCAGCAGGGCAAGAAGCAAGAAGGATGACTATCAAGGCGAGTTATAAGGAAGATATCATTCGGTTTCGAATTCCGTTGAGTTCTGGTATTGTGGAGTTGAGAGAAGAAGTGGCAAAGAGATTGAAAATGGAGGTCGGTACGTTCGATATCAAATACATGGACGATGATCGAGAATGGGTTCTTATGGCGTGCGATGCAGACCTGCAAGAGTGCGTAGAGATCTCGAAGTCATCAGGTAGCAATATAATAAGATTGTTGGTTCATGATTTAAGTGTGAATCTTGGGAGTTCTTGTGAGAGTACTGGGGAGTGAGGTTGGGGTTTGTAGATATCTAAAATTTGTTGACATCTCCTCTCTCTCTATATATTATATTGTATTAGGAAGTCAAGATTTAGATCTTAGGTATTGATATTATTTTGATCAAACTGTATAAAATGCACTCATTCTCTTCTTTTTTGTTTCTTCTTCTTCTTCTTCTTTGTCAAACATGATCTGTTTACGAGAACATGTTGGGAACCGAGAAAACGATATAAAACTTAGCATCGATCGCTTGAATATAGACATCTAGATTGTTGCTGGGATCGTAGCTTAGAAATGATTTTCGGCTTGAACTTGAACCTCTTGATGTCGATTGTGAGATCCCACATCGACTGGAGAGGGGAAACGAAATATTTCTTCTAAGGGTGTGGAAACCTCTCTAGTGGACGCGTTTTAAAACCTTGAGGGAAGGCTGGAAGGGAAAGCTTAAATATGACAATATCTGCTAGTGGTAAACTTGGGATGTTACAATGGTATTAGAGCTAGATACCAAGTGGTGTGCTAGTGAGGACGTATGAGTTTCCACATTGGTTGAAGAGGAAAAAACGAAACATTTCTTATAAAGGTGCGGAAACCTTTCCCTAGTGGACGCGTTTTAAAATCTTGAGGGGAAGCCCAGAACAGAGCCCAACGAGAACAATATCTGCTAGGTGGATTTGGACTCTCACAAATGGTATCTGCTAGTGAGGACACTGGCCCCAAGAGAGGTGAATTGTGAGATCTCACATCGGTTGAGGAGGAGAAACAAAACATTTCTTACAAGGGTGCGGAAACTTCTCCATAGTGGACACGTTTTAAAACCTTGAAGGAAAGCTTAGAAAGGAAAGTCTAAATAAAACAATATCTACTAGCAGTGAACTTGGATTGTTACACTGAGAATCTTTGTGCAGTCGTTCATACAAGTTTTGAATGAATTTTACCAATTGGAAGACGATCCGATCCACTGAATGAACTCGAGAATTAGAAAAAAGACATTGATGTCATATATTGAACACAAAACAAAGGCGGGACCAAAAAGGAAGGGGGAAAAAAAAAAAAAAAAAAACACAACACTCAAAATGGCATTATACGAGGTTGCCAATTATCTGTCACTGGTCTGTGCAGTGATCAACTGTTATTACCCTCCAAATTAAAACATTAGGAGTTTGCTAAAATATTTAAAAGACAATTTTTGTTTTCATATCTGTATATAATTATAAAAAGTGACAGATGGACGGTGGAGATGCTTCGTGTCCATCAAGCTCCATGGACCTGAGCTCTACCATTCCCAGTCTCAATGCTGTCTTTCTTCCAAGACTTTTCCATTGGTGACCACCTCTGATAAAATCACCTGCCCTTTAGCTTCCCTTTCTTGTATTTGGAGCTTTGTTGATTTGTAAAAGCTGGCATAGAGTGTCAATTGGGCCAGCCCAAACAGTGTGCCCAGCCCATTTGGAATCTGAAAAGTTTCAATTATTGAACACTATTCAATAAAATATTATATATTCACAAAATAAATAAATAAATAAATAAATAAATAATAATTCATGTGGGCTATATTCCCTTTTTTAACCTTTATTTTTTTTTAATAATCTAACTTTTATGGCTAATTAATTCCATATCCATAAATTTAATTTTTAATTTTTATTTTGTTCGTAGGATGCCTATCTATAACCTTGACCTCACACATTTATAGAAAATAAATATTTAAAAAAGCATAAGATATAATTGTAAGAACTAAACGTTACATGCATATAGAACACCTTCATTGGTGTTTTTATTTATTTTTTAATTAACTCAAAAGACACATTAGGATAATGATTCCTTCCTTTTCCCTCAAATTTTCATATTTTAAGTTAAAGAATTTCAAACCTTTTTCTTTTTATGTCGCCTCAATTTGTGTGGGAGAGAATAAAATGAAAATAAAAAAAGAAAAATCAAATATTTGTTGAAAGAATACTTTTTTTAAAGATAAAAATCCACTCGAATCATTATTCGGTTAATGTTCTTTTTGAACACTCCAACTCAAATTCTATAACGTGTGAGATTGAAATTCGAACTTCTTACCTCTTTAATTTAAAGTATATATATCTTAACCAGTTGAGCTATGTTCAAGTTAGCTCGATGAATACTAACTTAAACCAACTCAAATTAACTCGAGATTAGGGTTAGATATTGAGTTAGAAAAACGAGTAATTACCAAAATATAAGGGTCAAACGGGAGGCAAGCATAAATAGTCCAAGCCACACCATTGGCAAAAGAAGCAACGGAGAGGGATAGAGGCATATACTCCACACTCTTTGTTTTAATCACCAATTTCTGCCACACACAAAAAAAAATCAGTATTAAAATGATCATAGGGTATGCATATTGATGAATCTAAGACCATAATATTTGAGTTTGTGTCAAAATATTGTATCCGACCCATTTTTTAAAGTAGAACAAATAGGGTATGAGAATTTGACGTCTAGTTACGTTCATGTACAAAAAGTTCTCTCATATTTATAATGAGTTAAACTTTTAGTATGTTTCAAGTCTTCTTATAAGACGGGTTTTTGTCGATTAAAGTATTATATAATCGATCAAAAAGTTAGAAATTCGAATTAGAACCGTCATGAGAGAGAAAAACCAACCATGACGGCCAACGGAGAAGCATACATGCCAATGTTAAAGAGAATGCAGATAGTTCCAACCACCATGGATCGTTTGGTATGAGTATGAAAGATGAGCATAACCAGAAGGGTCAGAAGTGTGATGAAGACGAGCTCGATGAGCAACACGATCACGACTTTCACCCGCTTCTTCTGGTCGGAGAAGACGAAGAAGAGGATTATATAAGTGATCTCGATTAGGATTCCAGCTCCGTTAATGGTGATGACTAGAAGGCTTCCTGGATGCACCAGTGGAAGGCCGTAGAGCACCCAAACTAGGCAGTTCACAAGCGTCGCGAGGTACGGGATCGGCGAGAATTGCTCGACCGATCTCTTCTTCCATATCGTGACAAAAGTTGGCCTGAAAATGAAATCAATTATAAACACAATGATGTAGAGAATTAGGGTTTTGTGGGAAAAGGGTAATCCTTACACTGGAGACAAGAACAAGAACAGTGCTATGATGTTTCCTGCAGAAAACAAAAGATGGTGTAAAGATATGAATGAAATGATAGCCAAAGGGATGCTTTTTTGGGGTTTGTTTGCAATAATAAGCTCACCTATGATACCCACAACTGTTCGAGCAAGCTCCAAAGAAGCCATTGTTAAGGAGAGAGTGAAAGAAGAAGAGACCTTTAAAGAGAGATAAAGATGGGTTTGACTCTACTACATGCTAGTTGCTTCAAGCTTCACCTTTTTATAAACTCTTATATTCATTGCATGGACATTCCATGGGTCCTACCACACCCACCTTTATATCAACGTATGTGTACTAGTTCATTTTGATCCATAGCTATCAGTTTCATGGTTTTAAAATAAGTCTATTATGAAAAAAATTTCCGTACCCTTGCCTTATAACGAATGCTTCATTTCTCTCTCCAACTGAGGTGGGATCTCACAATCTACTCCTCCTAGGGGCCAACGTACTCACTGGCATATTGTCCAATGTCGGGCTATAATACCATTTGTAATAGTCTATTAGGAAGAGGTTTTCTACGCTCTTACCTTATAAGAAATGTTTCATGTCTCTCTCCAACCCATGTGAGATCTCGTAATATACCCCTCTTGGGGGCCAGCGTTCTCACTGACACACCGCCCCATATCTAGCTCTAATACAATTTGTAACAGTGTGTTGGGAAGAGGTTTACCACACCATTACTTTATAAGAAATGGTTCGTTTCTCTTTCTAACTGATGTGAGATCTCACATGTACTTTCAACTTTTGTTCATTTTGGTTTCTGGGTATGGTTCAAACGTCATTTTGATTCATTCGTTTTTCGTTTTTATCTCGTTCAAGATCAAAATGGATGGATGGAGATATGAAAGTATGTTTAAACCTAAAAAGGTGGTTGGAAAATTCGGAAATAGTGGAATGACAAGGAAGTAAGTGTTAAATAGATGTAGCTTTTTGTTACCTAATTGGATGCCTAAGAGGTAAGATGGGGAGAGAAAGGAGAGAATTTGATAATCCCATCAATCTTGTACTATTTTCCCCACTAAAATTAATTCCAACATATCCAAATCCTTTTTTGGAATTTCAACTGTTCAAATTACAATTCAATATTCAAACACCTCTTTAAAAGACCATAGAGAAGTTCAATCAAACAATCTAAGGTATCAATTCCTTATGAACATTTTGTACACTTATCTGTTTTGATCCGTTATATATCGTTATTAGTCTCACAATTTTAAAACGCTTCCCTCTCTAACAAATGTAGTATCCACAATTCATCTTCTTGGATGCAGGCCAGCCTCCTCACCGACATATCATTTGGTGTTTGACTATGATACTATTTGTAACAGCCCAAGTCTATTGCTAGCAGATATTGTTCGTTTTGGCTTATTACATATCGCCGTTAACCTTACAGTTTTAAAACATGGAATCTCACATAATAATTTTTTTAAAACTTTTCCAATCCACGTAATATTTAAAAGAGATTATTTTTGTTAAGAGAAGACCCGTTATTGGTTACCTTATATGATTATCTTATTGTTAACGTAAAAGACTCTCAATTTAGTACGATAAAAATCAAAGATTTCAATTTTTGATCTCTAACTATCCATTACTATTAGATTATGTTTGATAATATGATTATTTTCTTTCAAACCACTTAAAAACTCCTTTAATTTAAAAACTTAATTATTCTTTTAAAACACAGACAAAAATACATCTTCTATATATGCTTTTAAATAAATTAAAAATTAAAAATGAAAAACAAAAATATTTTGAAACCAGTATTAAAAAGTTTGAATTTTTTCTTTTTCTTTTTTTTGGAAGAGAACCTTTTTTCTAAAGCACAATTTCAAGTATTTTTTGTTAAATTAAAAAAAAAAAAAAGAAAAAAAAAAGAATTAAAATAATGCCAAATTGGCATTAATCTATTTCCATTATTTTGGAACCCATAATCTCTTATTTCAAAAAGCTTTCTTCCTTTTAATTAATACAAATTATGTTATGATCAAAAGAATCACTGCTTTATATCAAATCAACGTCAAAATGTCAAGATGCATCCATTTTATTTATCCCATTTAATTCAACCCAATATCATTATCCATTATTTATAAGCCCAAAAAAAAAAAAATAAATTAAATTTGATTAAAATTTTAAATATTTTTTTCAAAAAATAAAAACCATTTGAAAAAAAATTAAAAGAAACCCAACATAAATATTTGGACGAAACAAAACCTAAACCATTCATATAAATGTTCGAATTTAATAAAATTACGACATTGTATAATTTTTTTCTAAGAATATCACATCAGGTAAGATAATAAGAATATAAATAATTATTAAACGGGCATTAATCTGTATTATTAAGGAGCGAAAAATAATGAATATTTAATAATTATTATTATTTGGGGGTGTGGGAGAAAGAAACAAATACATGTGTTACATTAAAGTTTAATATTCGAAAGCATAATTCCATAGTAAGAGAGGAATCCAAATCATGATTTAGTGGAATTGAAAGGTTCGTCAATCTTTTCCTCCATTATTATGAATATATTCTTTTTTCTTTTTAATTTTGTTTTCTTAGTGATGAATTATATTCCGAATATATAATCTACAGTCTTCATGCAACAAAAAGTGCATTTTATATATACACACATTATTATACTTTACTTTTTTTTTTTTTTAACCCTCCAATTATTCTCCTATATATATTTCTAAAATATTACAGGGAAAATTAATATAGGCTAATTTAAAAAAAAAAAAAAACAATAAAATGAAATAAAGTACAAACAAATCAAAATTCCCATAAATATTTAGAGAAATTATTAAAATTATTAAAATTATTTCTCATACGTATAATAATGTAGAAGTGAGATTAGCATATGTGTTATAATATTAATTTGATAACTAATATGCTAATTTCGATTAACCGTAAAATGAGGGTAATTAATTAATGAGTTAAGCTAATATTGGAATTTAATCGGCCTTCCACTACAACGATTGAAACCTCCGGTATTATTTTTTTATTATAACGTTATTGCATGCATGAACCGTAATCAAAAAGCAAAAAAAATATATTAAATATATATAATTTAAGAATATTTTTAAGATTTTACTTTTTATTTATTTATTTTAAAGTATTTTCGTAGTTGATTCTGTAATTAATCTTCTAGAATGGGTTGGAGGAATTTAAATAATAATAATAATAAAAAAAAAAAAAACGTTACAAAAATTACTTTTCTTAATAGTGAATACCTAACCCTAATTTAGATCTAGGTTTTTTTGGTCATACATTACTGTTTTTGAAATATTTTCCTTGAATAAATATTTGATTTTTTAAATTAAGTTTATAAATCCTATTTTCACCAATATTGTTACTTCATTGTTTTTTTTTTTTTCGATATTTAAAAATATATATATATATATATGTCAAGAAAACTAAAAAAAATAGTTTTTTTTTTCTTTAAGAATTTAAATATTTCTTTAATAAAATTGAAATTTTTTATTAGAAAATTGTGAGTAAACAATTAAAGTTCAATATATATATATATATATATCCAACATAAGACATTTATATTTAATTAGAAACCTCAAGAAATAGCAAGTCAACTAACAAAGGTTGTTAATTTACAACTTCAACTATTTTGGAAATAATTTTTTTTTAATTTTTATGTAATAAATTTTACTGCGGAGAAAATTCATTATTTTAATAAAAAAAATTTATTTATATCTCTAGACTTTACTAGATATATAAATTATATCTCCATATATCAACACATGTTTAACTATACTGATCATATAATTTTTTCTATCGTTGTTATTATTTATTTTATTTTTATATTTATCTCTAATCTATATTAACTGTGGCATACATATTAAAATAAAATTTGTTTAAAAAATATATATAATTTGATAAAATAAACATTTTTGTCGGTTTTGGAATATGAACAAATAAATGTTTGGTAATATATGATGGGGGGAATTTTACAATCCAGAAAGCATTTTGTTTTTTTATGAGCATGAAAGCACGTGTAAATGCTAAATTCTCATCTAAATGAATAAAATCTTTAGGTTTGTAGATTTTTGTTAGGCTTTCCCTCTCTTTTTGGAACCCTTTAAATATTACAATCACATTTTGTCTCTTTTTCAGCCTTAATGTTCTCCAAATTCTTAAGAAAATTACCTTTTTTTTCCCCTTGGTTATTTGAACACATCTCCTCGTACTATGTAGTACTTTGCTTTTCTTTGTGCACCAACCGCTCGGAGTGAGAGAACCTGAACCGAGAATAACTTATAGTATATGGTTTCGGTTTAGTGTTCAATAACGAATCGAACCCAATTGAACTGAATAAAAAGAACTATTGTGTTGCTTAGGTTAAACCTTGCTGACTCAACTCGTACGATTGGGTTGGGTTATGAACTTATTTAGGTTAGGGTAGGTTGTGTTCAAACAATTGACAACTTTATGAATTTTGTTGGTTTAATGGTTTCCTTAAAACTAGATTGGGTTAACTTGAACTAACTCGAATGTGAGATCCCACATCGGTTGGGAAGTAAAACGAAACATTCTTTATAAGGGTGTGGAAACTTATCCATAGTAGATGCGTTTTAAAAACTTGAGAGGAAGCCCAAAAGGTAAAGCGTAAAGATGATAAATAGTATTAAAGCTAGACATCGGACAATGTGTTAACGAGGAGGCTGAGCCTTGAAAGGGCAGGACACGAGGCGCTGTGTCAGCAAGGACGCATGGCCCAAGCGAGGAGACTGAGCCTCGAAAGGGGGTGGGACACGAGGCGGTGTGTCAACAAGGACGCAAAGTCCTAAAGGGGTGAATTAGAGGGTTCCACATCGATTAGAGAAGAGAACAAGTGTCTGACTGGCCCCGAAAGAGGGTGGATTGTCAAATCCCATATCAGTTGGAGAGGAGAATGCATTCTTTTATAACAATGTGGAACCTCTCTCTATTAAAAACTTTGAAGAGAAGCCCAAAAAAGAAAGCCAAAAAAATAAAATATCTACTAGCTAGTGGACTTGCGTTGTTCGTATTAAATATATAACAAACCTAGACGTTGCAACTCCAAACAAAGAATTAAGACGATGAAAATGAGAAAACATTTATATAACAAACCTAGACGTTGCAACTCCAAACAAAGAATTAAGACGATGAAAATGAGAAAACATTCTTCCAAAATCTTATTCAATCAAGGTCAATGTTTTAGCCTTACACAGATATTCATTCAATCAAACAATGAACAGCACGAAGAGAGGAAAAACAATAAATGAGTTCAGTTCATAAACAGAACAAATTAAATCAACTCTATACATGATCTTATATGTTACAGAATGTGCACGTTGGATCAGTAAAGCAGTTCGATCTCGAAGAGACTTTCCTATTCAGATTCTAAATCCCAAGCTCGACCACTTCTTTGTTGCCTCCTTCTTCGTCTTCCTCGAGTTCGGGTCAATGAGGTTTTCCAGAGACTTTGCTTTCCGGTTTCGGGTTCGGCCTGCTTCCTTCAGTAGCTCAGCCAGTCTCCGCTTTTCATCCTCAAAATCGGGATTCGCAATTCCGAGCTTCTCTTCTCTCAACTTAAGAACAGATTCCAATATTTCAATAGCATCATCGACTCTGCAATAGTTTTGGAAGAAACCATTAGACCAAGCACTCATTAGCTAAGCTACATTACCCATCTTTGCGTTTAAGTAACGATGAAATTGTGAGATCTCACATCGGTTGGAGAGGAGAACGAAACATTCTTTATAAAGGTGTGGAAACTTCTCCCTAAAAAACGCGTTTTAAAAACTGAGGGGAAGCTCGAAAAGGAAAGCCCAAAGAGGACAATATCTGTTAGCGGTGGACTTGAGCTATTACAAATGGTATTAGAGCCAGACACCGTGCGATTTGCCAGCCAAGAGGCTGAGCCTCGAAGGGGGAGTGGACTGTGCCGGCAAAGACGCTGAGCTTCAAAGGGTGTGGATTGTGAGATCCCACATCGGCTGAGGAGGATAACGAAACATTTTTTATAAGGGTGTGAAAACCTCTCTCTAATAGACGCGTTTTAAAAACCTTGAGAGGAAACTCGAAAGGGAAAGCGTAAAGAGAACAATATCGGCTAGTGATGGGCTTGGGCTGTTACAAATGGTACTAGAATCAAACACCGAGCAGTGTGCTAGTAAGGAGGTTGAATCCCGAAGGGAGGTAGACACTAGGCAGTATTATGCCGGCAGCGGTGGTCTTGGGTAGTTACAAATGGTACCAGAACCAGACACTGGGCGGTGTGCCAGTATGGAGAGATTGAGTCTCGAAGGGGGGTAGACACTAGGCGGTGCCAGCAAGGACATTACACGGTGTGCCGGAAAGGGAGTGGACTATGAGATCCCACATTAGTTCGGGAGTAGAACGAAACATTCTTTATAAGGGTGTGGAAACCTCTCCCTAGCAAACATGTTTTAAGAACCTTGAAGGGAAGCTTGAAAGGGAAAGCTCAAAGAGGACAATATCTACTAGCGGTGGGTTAGGCTATTACAGAAATCCATGAGAGTAAGGGGGTCGATCTCTCGAACAAGCTATGCAAATGCAACGAAATATGTATAATATGATTGGCAGTGATAAGGAAACAGCTTAAATAAAGTGAACTACCTTCCCATAGCATCATAGGTTGCAGCAAGGTTGCTATAAACTCCAATGGTATCTTGATGACAATTGCCACACTCCTGCTCCAAAATGCCTCTTGCTTCTTCAAACAGCTCAACAGCTTCATCAATCTTGAACAACTGCACACAGGCCAATCCCATTTGATTCAACACGACACCAAAGAACGCAGATTTCCTCTCCCCGGTGGCTCGAAGTTTCGATATCGCACTCTCAAACGCGATCCTTGCATCTTCGTACCTTCCAACCAAGTAAAACATGACTCCCATCCGTGCTTCTATCCCGGCAATTGTGCTATGCTGTCCAGGGTTATCTTCCAACATCTTCATAGCCTTCTGCAAGAGCTTCAACGCCTCCTCGGCCTCACCAACAGACTCGTAAATCGCTGAAACTCCGGTCAACCCACCAGCAATTTCTTCGGGTGAAGTTCCAGGCACAGGCTTTGAGTATATCCTCATTGCATTTTCGCAATAAGATCTCGACTCCCGGAGCTTTCCAGTCCGATGATACAAGTCAGCGAGGCGTATGAAGACCGAGGCGACCAAAGGATGGTTATCACCCTTGGATGCTTTGAACACAGTAAGAGCCTTTTGGTATGAGAAGACTGCCTCATCAAAGCGAGCTAGAGACATGTAAATATTTCCAATGCTCACATCAATGGCAGCAACCTCGCTGTCTTGCCCATTTGCTACCATCGCCATACTGGCCAGGACAAGATGCTCAAGCGCCTGTTCGTAATCGCCCTTCGCCTCACAAATGAGCGCCATCAGTCGGCGGTCGGCTGCTTCTTCAAGTGATGCAGGCTCACTATGTGCATGATGAATCTCAAGAGTTTTCTTGCATAATTCTTCTGCTCTATCAAATTGCATTGCTTGAACGTGCGCCTCAGATAAATACCTGCATATAACATGATGCGATCCAAGTGAATAACAGACAATGAACTAACTATTTCATTTCATCAACTTATATTCATCACAGCCCAAGTCTATGATACAGTCCGAATATCTGCTTAGGCCTGTTACATATCGCCATTAGTTCACAATTTTAAAACGCGTCTGCTAGGAAGAGATTTCCGACACCCATATAAGAAATACTTCGTCCCCCTCTCCAGCGTCCTCACTGGCATACCGCCTGGTATCTTGCTCAGATACCATTGGTAACAGTCAAAGTCCACCATTATTAGATATTTTCTGCTTTGACTTATTACATATCGTCGTCAGCTCACGGTTTTAAAACGCGTCTACTAGGGAGAGGTTTGCTACACCCTTATAAGAAATGTTTCGTTCCCCACTACAACCAATGTGGAATCTCACAATCCACCCCTAAGGGCCCAGCGTCCTCGCTGGCATGCTGTCCAGTGTCTGGCTCTGATATCATTTGTAATAGTCTAAGTCCACCACTAGCAATATTGTCCACTTTCACCCGTTACTATCGTCGTGAACTCACGGTTTTAAAACGCGACTACTTGGGAGAGGTTTCCTACACCCTTATGAGGAATGCTTTTTTCCCTCTCCGACTAATGTGGGATCTCACAATCCACCCTTAAGGGCCCAACGTCCTTGTTGGCACACTGCCTGGTGCTGGGGTCTAATACTATTTGTAACCGTCCAAGTCCACCGCTAGAAAAATTGTCAAATTTGGCCCGTTACATGTCACCGTCAGTCTTACGATTTTGAAATGCGTCTTGTAGGAAGAGGTTTCTGACACCCTTATAAGAAATGTTTTGTTTCTCTTTCCAACGAAACTAAACTAAGTCAGTTCACACAGAATTGCAAGGAAAAAAAATGCAAAAAGTTGACTTATAAACCATAAGTCCCAACATATGCCGATCAAGCTCAATCACAAAACTTAAATTCAACCCACAAAATCCAACACAAATTCCCACATTTGTGGAAGACTGATATGCATCTAATACAAAGACAATAGAAATCAAACCTGCAAGTCTCCCCAACTCTGGGATCCGTCTCACCCAAGGCTTCGATCTGAATCTTCAAGCCCTCTTCATAGCATCCAATAGACCGCTCGATCTGACCCACCATCGAATACGTATCACCCAGTTGCATATGTCCGGAAAAAGCAGCAAGGGCATGATCCGTCCCTCTTCCAATGTCAGGAACCTGAATCGCCTGTTCAAGAACCGGCACCGCCTCCTCGAACCGGCCTAAGCTACAATAAATGGCAGCCAGAACATGGAGGCTCATGGTCAGGTCAAGGCTCGGCTCCCCATCCACAGCGCACCGCTCGAACGACTTCGATGCACGGATCGCATAATCAAGGGCTTTGTTTGGGCCGTCACCAGAGGCAATGGTGTCGCGAGCGAGCTTCAGAAGAAAAGGCCCAAGATCGGGGTTGTCGAGAGAAGAATCCGGCGGACATTGGGTCGCCGTCGGACTCTCCGGTTGAAGCTTCTTCTTCCCGTTCGTAGATCGGGAAGAAGATGGAGAGGGCTGTTTGTTCGTTAGAGGAGATGGGGTTCGATGATTCGACACCGGCGGCGTGTCGGGGACGGAGATCCGTAGCGGCGGAGTGTCCGGCGGGGTTTTGACGGAGACGAGACCCGGCATGGAGGCGGAAACAAAAATAAAAACAAGAAAAACAGGGGATTTAGATATGGATTTGAAGAGGGTTAATATTTGATCTGGGAAAATGGGGATTAGTATGATGAATCAACGGAATGGAACGGCCCACCTTGAGAAGATCAAATTTTCAGTGGGGGTTTGAAGCTGAAGCTGCAGTAGATCAGATGTCAATGGCTGTCATCGTGGTCAAGTCTAAGCCGTCGGTCTGCTCCAGTACGAGACCGCAGCAAACTTAAGCTGAGAGGGTGAAATAGTAATCTCATATATTTTTATCTTTTTCTAGAGGTTCAATAATTCATTTTTCTCTTATACCTATTGATATTTTCACAAATTTTAATTTATTTAAATAAGCAACATAAAAAGATTAATTACAATGGAAAAAATTATTATATTTCCAATATTTTGATTAGTAAACTAATGTGAAATTAATTAAAAGTTTATCTATATACTTGTCTTGTTAAGTTATTGGAGCCTTTGCACTTTTTTTCTTTTTGATGTTTTGTTCTATTCCTTCTTTTTTAATACTCTATTCTTTATTATGAGAATTCGTTCTATATATGAGAAAGAATTGGATTATTAAAATCATAACGTATTTAAGTCAACTTAAATATAGTTCAATTGATTATGGTGTGTATCTTAAACTACTAGGTCAGAGGTTTAATCTGACTTAGGTTTGAATGATACGTAGTTTTTTGGAAACTCACGAATGATAATATCATACCGATCAATATGAAAAAAAAAATCCAAATACTCCAACAAACAAGTTAATTACCTGATCAATCGGATCCCGACATACCAATAGGTACTAGAAGAGAACGCTATAATCGTTACTATATCCATATCGAAGAGATGCGACAAAGTAGTAAGATCATTGTGCCAAACCCTTATATCTCGAACATTCTATGTTTGCTCAAATAAAAGAAGCGTTGAGATAATAAACTTTTATTCTAATTTCATCTAGTAGAAAAGCTCGACCTGCACCGAAATAGTGCTTTTTTCTTGGATGTCCAGTCAACGGCTAAGCCTCAACGTATATCGAAGAGAACCCGCTAGTTTTGAGTTTGAGTGTCATTTCCTCGGATAGTTTTGATTGCATATATTAAATCTTGAGCTCAAGGTTAAGACACAACCATCATTAATATCTCTGAAAACAAGTTTAACACACAACATTTTGGACACTCATAGCCATATTCTTATGTATATTACATTCCAAATAGCACTCTTTTGCACACCATATCATACTCACTTTCTACAACAAACATATGTTTATGAAACACACTCCATATATAATTAAAACTCTCTTCACAAAGCCACACCATAAAGCTCACTCAAACTTCACCAACCACGTTTGGATTGGCGCTCTTATGCTCTTCCTCCAGGGCTCCCAATCCTTGGCTCATGTCTTCTGTTATGTTCTGGGCTTGCATAGTCTGAAAATTCTTCTGCTCCCAAAAGCTTTCTTGTCAATTTGTTCCTTTCAACTCTCACCTGTATGACGATAATTATAATGATTTTACCTTGTTCCTTCATTCATGAATCTATAAATATGTTCATGAATTCGAGTCAACGACATCGATGACAACATTTTTATATCCTTTACCTATAGTTTATCCAAATTCACATGAAGCTTTGAGTTCGTGTACTCGGGTGAGTGTTCAAATTTGAGTTCATGTGGGTTTGGCTTAAGAGGTTGAATTCATGTTTGCTTTGTGAGTTTATTAAATCTAGGGTTTGGATTCTGGTGATTGTATTTCGAACACACTCTCTCAATTTTCTTTTAAGTAAAAGACTTTCGAGATTCATGTCTTAGAACATGGATTTTCCAAATTCAAGTTTTCTTAGACCTTTCAAACGCTAACTGTAACAGCTCAAGCCCACCAGTAGTAGATATTGTCCGTTGTGACCGGTTACGTATCGCTGTTAACCTCATAATTTTAAAACGCGTCTGTTAGAGAGAGGTTTCCACACTCTTATAAGGTGTAATTCGTTCTCCTCTCCAACTGAGGTGGGATCTTATAATAACTTTAAGATTTTCAAATATTTTAAAAAATAAAACAATTATCATCTCAAAAGTCGATAATTTTCAAATCTCACCCTACGAAGAAAACTTTGAACTTCGAGCTTAGGGTTTCTCACCTGCCCACAAGGGTTTGGTAGCTTCAAACCCTCCTTCAAGTTCAGACCATCAGCAACCCCTACAAAAGGAAGAAAACAAACAGAAATCTCAGCCAAAAATGTAAAATTGTGAAACCCTAATTTCCATTTTGAACACTGACAAACAGATCTAAACCCTAAACCCTAATTAAAAGTACCTGAATTAGGGTAAGTGAAGAGGAGGAAGATGAAAAAGAAGGTGTTGAAGGCAGCCATGGAAGCCATTGTTGAAGGATCAGAGGTGGGATTGAAGGCGAAAATACAAGTATAATGAAGCTGGGAGTGGCTAGGGCTCGAAGAAAACAAAAGGGTTTTATAGAAGAAGGTAATTAGAGGAAGATAATGGAGGCTAATTAAGAGAATTAAGCTAAGTGTCATGATGATAACCTCCATTAAAGCTTCGTGTAATGATTCTGTAAGTGGTAGCTGTACCTGTTATCCTGGTCAACCACTTTCTCAATATTTATGGCAAAGTAAATCCAAATATGCTTGTTTAAGACATTATATTTAACATCTATTAATCACTAATCATTCATCACTTTTACTAACATGGTTTTATTACAAGAATTTACTTTAAGGTTTAAAATATTTATTTTTATTCTTTTTAATTTAGTTCGGGTTTTAAAATATTTTATAAACATATAGTTTTGCAAGAGAAAAAAAATTCACAATCTAACCTAGTACAACCGTTGGTTCTTGAATTACATTGTTGTGATGTTGGATTACTCGTTTTTTAAATTATTAAAAAAAATAGTTGTGAATGTTTGATTAATCCACCACACCTAAATGGTGTGAAAGTTATCTTATTTATAATCAAATGAATTACAAGGATATGGAAATAGTAATAAATGGAAATAACAATAAATGGAAAGATACGTATGATAATAAAGCAAATATTAGATATTTGCCTTATAATAAAATATCAAATATAATATATATGGTAAACTATAATTTATTACTAAATATCCTTAACACACAATCTAACCTAGTACAACCGTTGGTTCTTGAATTACATTGTTGTGATGTTGGATTACTCGTTTTTTAAATTATTAAAAAAAATAGTCATTCATAATATATATTACATTAATTATTAAAATATAATAAAATTCAAATATCAAATATTTACTACTCCTTACTCATCATTAATAATTAAATTATTAATTTTCATACTAATTTAAAAAGTAGAGTTTTCAAACCTACGAATCGAATTTTTCTTTTAGATTTCTAAAAATTTAACATAATTAAACCCGGAAAAATATAAATCAACCCAACTTGACCCAATTGGTTCAATAAACGGTAAGATATATATATATATATATATATATAAAAAGGGGTGGCTTTAAGGCATTTACACGTGTGGGGTTAGGTAGTATTCCATTAAGAGGGTTTAGTCTTCACTTAGAGTATATAATTAATAAATATATAATTTAAAAAATGGTTAGTATATTATAATTAATTTGAATTATTGAAAGGGAGTTTGTTGTATATAAGTGAAGCTCTGTCGGCAAAGTTAACAGCAAAGGCCCCTCTACTCTACAAAATTACAAATTCTATCTTATCCCTATTTCTTCATAATTTCTCCCTTTGGCCCATATTTTCTTCTTTTTCCCTCACTCTATAATTGCAAATTAGTCCTTTTTTTTTTTAAGCTTTTTCATTATTTGCATTTAAACATCAATGTCGGGTTCTACCCGTTAAATTAAATTTAAGTCTCAAATTAATAATGTACTTGGCATTATAAATTTCACTCGTGAATAAGATTAATATAAATTATGAAAAAAAATATATGGATTAAAATGATGAGTGACGAGTTTTCATTAAATTTGAATTATTCTTCGTCTATTTTTCTTTGATTATTTTCTGAACGACACGTCCGTACATAAACATTATTGTAATTGATGGAGGAGAAGAATGTTGATTAGTTTAATAAAGATTTGAAAAAAGAAGAATGAATGGATGAATGATGATGTTTCCTATTGATAATGCAAGAACACATTCATCCCTTAGCTTCAAACACCAATTTGGTTCCTCTTTTTTGTTGCACTTTGGAGTATGGAGTTCGTACGGGCATTGTCTTTAATTTGGCATTCTATTCAATGATGGCTTTGACATGTGGGTTTGCACTTCAATTATAACTCGAACGCTTCTTTTATATATATATATATATATATATATACATATATCATTCTTGTAGTGAGTTGTCAATGGGAGGGAGACTCTTCCAATACATACTTTAATTCCTTTACCCTCTTATTTTAACTCGTTTTTTTAATGCAACCAAAGTTCGGGATTGTGAAAATTTGAACTTGGATCACGATAACACCTACGCTGCCCAAGAGTAGGATCACGATTTAGAATTTGGATTCTAACACCTAATGATCCCGACATTCTTTTACCATATGGTCACGTTACATACTCCTCGCTTAAGAATGAAAACTAACCCCACAAATCAACACAAGTCATTTATAGCGTTCTTTGTCCTCACTCACTTGCATTCTAGAAAATTTTGCAAGAGGTCACTAAATCTAAAACTACTCCAAGCAAATCACACTTGAGGTTTTAACCATCATATCTTGAGGATTGCTCGCATTCGAATGTGGTATCAGTTCATTCTTGTACCTCTCCTTAACTCGAGTGTTATAAAAAGAGACAAGAAAGTTCTTTTACGTGGTTCGATTATTTCCTCAAACCTACCTTAACATGTCATGTTCAAAGAATAAAGTTTATTAAACAAATATTAGTAGCCAACATAAAATGAAATGTCAATTTGGGTACGGTTTAATAGATTACAAGGCATCAATATCAACTTTATAATTCTATTCTTATAAATGTTAAATTAAAAAAAAAAAACATTTCCTTCTAAAGCCACGAACTTACCTCTATTTATTTTAATGCATTGAGTTATTCGCATTTGAAACGATAATTGGTATCTTTATCCGAAAAACAAGTATATTATTAAGGTTAGAAGTTCAAATCGATCATTTTTTTTAGTGGCATTGGGCTTTATAATGATATTGTCCCGAACATAGTTCAAATAGTCGAATACTTCATCGGTATTATTTTTATTATTACCATTACAAAGTG